CCCCGAGGATCCATCCGTGCAAAGCCAAACCTCTGCAGAAATCAACAGGAATCAACATTTTACACCTTTGTGAAAAAACAACCAACATCGCGGATTACCTCAAATTACTCTAATTGGTCTTATTTTAAAAATTTATTTATTAGAAACAAACTGTTTGGGAACGAAGGACTGTTTTTAGTGATCCAAAACAGAAATAAGTGTTCTAGTCTATTAATGCCCTATATGGAATAAATCAATATTAAAACTAATTAACCCTTTTCAAAGGCGTTTTGTCTCTGGTTTTTATTTAATGGTTCAGTGCAACCTGAAGTACTGCCAGAGCTGGATAAGCTCCATTTAAAAAATGGCCAATTTTGAAAACAATTTAACAGCTTACTGTGATGAACATTTTTGTATTTTTTTAACCAGGCAGAACTTGGCTCCAAGAGAAGATGGGGGATAAACCATCTCCTTTGCTGATGCAATGAGTCACTAATTAGAACTGGCCACCCAGCTCAGCCTCAAGTGGAAAATGCATATATATTTCTGGGATTTCAAAATAAATATTATGGGCAAGGTTTTAAATGCTGTTCTGTCAGCTATAGGGTTCTAGACGAGGACTTTTTTACATTCCTAAACCAGAAAAATCCTGACCTTCCTGCGGTTCACAAGATTTTGATGCAGGAAAGCAGAAATCTAAAGGAAGGGGGGGAAAATTCCCAGTAAAGTATCCCTGCTTACTGCTCCCTCCTTCCTACAACAGTTTAACTGGAGAATCTCTTAACACCAGGAGAACTTCAGTAGCAATAATCAGTTTTTAAATTCATACGAAATCTTTATTAGTTGTTCCATGCACAATTTAAAAGGGACGAGGCAGCTTTTCAGACAATTCTGGGAGAAACAAGCCCTATTCACCTGGCTACTCCGGGCTCCCACACTCCTCTTCCTCCCAGGAAATTACAAATTAGAGGAGTGCAGGGGGGGAGAGAAAAGCAGTAATTTATGAAAACACGGTACACCATAATTTTGCCATTTTTCTGCAATAAGGATGGCAAATGATTCATGGGGAAAAATGAAATATATTCCCCTGTCAGCTCAATAGATCCAAGATTTACAGCTCCTCGACTTGGACAGGAGCAGCTCCGCTTGCATAGGAATGAATTGCAAATGCGTTAATTGGAGAGATGCAAAAATAATAAATGAATCTGTGCAAAATAAACGGAGCGACAACTCGGGAGAGGGAATGATTTGCTCTGGGCGGGGACAGGACCCGGCCCGAGCCCGCCGCTCCGACACGATGCCCCGGCCCCGCTGGACGAGCGCGGCTGCGGCTGCGGAGCCGGGCCCGGCCAATAAAGGCACCGGCAGGGAGAGCTGCGCCCCGCCGGGGAGCACGGCTCACCTGGGCATGGAGGTGTGGATCCCTGCTCACCTGGGCATGGAGGTGTGGGATCCCTGCTCACCTGGGCATGGAGGTGTGGGATCCTGCTCACCTGGGCATGGAGGTGTGGGACCCAAACCCTGCACACAGCTCACCTGGGCATGGAGGTGTGGGACCCAAACCCTGCTCACAGCTCACCTGGGCATGGAGGTGTGGGACCCAAACCCTGCACACAGCTCACCTGGGCATGGAGGTGTGGGATCCCTGCTCACCTGGGCATGGAGGTGTGGGACCCAATCCCTGCACACAGCTCACCTGGGCATGGAGGTGTGGATCCCTGCTCACCTGGGCATGGAGGTGTGGGATCCCTGCTCACCTGGGCATGGAGGTGTGGGACCCAAACCCTGCACACAGCTCACCTGGGCATGGAGGTGTGGATCCCTGCAAAAAACTCACCTAGGCCATGGAGGTGTGGGATCCCTGCTCACCTGGGCATGGAGGTGTGGGACCCAAACCCTGCTCACAGCTCACCTGGGCAGTGCAGGTGTGGGACCCAAACCCTGCACAGAGCTCACCTGGGCATGGAGGTGTGGGACCCAAACCCTGCACAGAGCTCACCTGGGCAGTGCAGGTGTGGATCCCTGGAAAGAACTCACCTGGGCCATGGAGATGTGTGATCCCTGCTCACCTGGGCAGTGCAGGTGTGTGATCTCTGCTCACAGCTCACCTGGGCAGTGCAGGTGTGTGACCCCTGTTCACCTGGGCAGTGCAGGTGTGTGATCCCTGTTCACCTGGGCAGTGCAGGTGTGTGACCCCTGCTCATCTGGGCAGTGCAGGTGTGTGATCTCTGCTCACAGCTCACCTGGGCAGTGCAGGTGTGTGACTCCTGATCACCTGGGCAGTGCAGGTGTGTGATCCTGGCCCGTCCAGGGGCACGGAGCTGTCCCAGCAGCACGGCCACGGCCCCACAGGTGGCCTGTCCCCATCCCTGCCATCAGCCCCCAGCTGGCACGGGACACGCCCTGCTCGGGCCATGCTGAGATTTCAATGCTGCTTTGCTATTCCCCATGCTGTTTCTAACCAGGCTGCAACAGCCACACCAGGGGCAGTAAATCTGGATTTCTGACCATCCTGGGGAGACAGCAGAGGAAGGGACTGGCCCCAGACTCCTGTGCCTTCCAGCAGCACAGCCAAAAGCTTGACACGAGGCAATTCTAGTGCTGCAAAATATTTGGGATAAAGCTGATCACAGCAAACATTCTTTGCTTTATCACTTCCATGCCGTGGATTAGGGGAAAATCCATAATCTCTGTGGTTCTCCTCTGCTCTGGTTCATTCTGCAGGGAGCTGCTTGCACATCAGCACAGCTCTGTGGCAGCTGTGCAGCATCCCTGCTACAAGTGTAAATTAACCCAGAAATAATCTGGAGATTGTGAAGATTGTGCTAACTGCTGACTCTCTGGCAGGGAAAATGGATCTGCTCTGCTGGAACTCTCCTGGCAGCCTGGGCTCACCTGGAGCCCGACCCACGGGACTGGGAAACCTCTCTCCTCCCTGGCACTGCTTTGGGTCAGGATCAATCCCAGCCGTGCGTGGGGGCTCCTGGATGAGAATCCAGGAGGAGATGCACAAATCACACACCGAGGCTGCTGCCACTGCAGCCCCAGGGCAGGGCAGGGCTCCTCACGTGCTGCTGTCACTGCCACTGTCACTGCCACTGCCACTGTCACTGCCACTGCCACTGCCACTGCCACTGCAGTGCCAAGGCTGCACTCGCTCCTCGCTCGCACACTGCAGAGCACTCAGCTCTGAGCTGAGAGGGGAAGGTGTTGGGAACCTGGGTTCTGCTCCCCAGACCCACCCATCCCCACCTCCTCCTTCAGAGAAACCTCCCCGGGGCCACTCCGAGGTATCTGTGCACCTGCCATGACAAACTGCCAGCAAAAGGAGCTTTTTTAGCCACTTTTATTGAGTCATGCTTCCAGTCCTTAGTTAAAAACAAGGCACATTAAATACATCCTCTTATTGCTCAATAAACGCATGCGGCTCATTCCAGATATCAAAGGTAATAAATAATGGCAGGAAAACACCGAGACATTGTAAAAATGACAACCCAGCTTCAAACACAGCCTTGAACAGCCCGGGCTGCAAGAGGAACCTGACAACAAGTGCCACGTGGGAAGCTGCAGTGTGTCTGTCCACGTATTTATACACACCCAGATACTGCATGGATCCCCCTCCCCACAGGGGCACCTTATTTACAGCACAAAATACCCACAGAAAATCCAGAAACCTTCACGCACACAGTCCCATTTGTTTTTCCATCCCAGATCAGCACAGCAAGCCAGTGACAGCATGCAGCTCTTGCCACAGAACATCCACATGGAGACCCCACAGAGCAAAGGCAGCGCTCCTGCAGACAGAGCCAGGGGATAAATAAACACTGGGAGCTTTCCTGCACTGCTGGGGGAGCAGGAGCTGACACAAGCCTGACACACAAAGCAAATCCATGTCCAGGGACACACACAGTTGGGAGAACCCACAGCCACATTCCAGATGCAAGATTAGCAAAACAAGAGAACAAAGAACATACTTTGGGTACAACACAGAAATCCTGCTTTCCAGGTAAATTCAGGTTTAACAATGCCAGTTAGAGAGGAGTGGAGAACTTTTCTTTAAACTGTACAAAAACTGTTCAATAGTGAAAATATTTTTTCTTTACAAAAAGCCTGTTCAACATTGGAAATATTTTTTCTTCACTTGGCCTGGAGAAGGTCTCATGACTTTTACTTTGTTTTTTTCCCCTTACACTTCTGTTAACAGTAGACTCCTGAACCCCTTCCCTCGCCCACTGAGCCAAAATTACCGTGTGCTATACATCCACTTCCCTCCATTCTGCAGGACAGGTGAAAGCTGTTACTGTGCTTTGAACACAAACATTCCATCCTTCACCTGAACATTCTGGAACAGAGCTCAAAAGGAAAAGCCTGCAGGACCACAGGAACAAAGCCCTTTGTCCATTAAAACATCCTCGTGGTGTCAGATGTGCCAACTCCCCCTTCCCCAGCCCCTGCTCGAAGCACAGAGCCAGAACCTGAACAACATCTGCAGCAAAAAGCAAACTGAACATGCAAAACCCATTGAACTGTTTTAGGAACTCATTTTAGGTGAGTTTTACCCTTTTCTTTTGTATCTACTGTTTTTCAACATCTGAATGTTTAATGTTTTTTTTTTTTAAGGGCTCTGCTTCTGCAGCCCAAGACAGTATCTGCACTCACTGCTGTACCCCACCACTGCTCAGCATCTCCATTTGTGCCTGGAGCCATTTTCCCCGTTAAAATATCCAAGGAATCTTTGCTGTTCACTCCTGCCCTGTTGGGCACCCCTGATGGATGTTATTTTCCATCAGTGGACGTGCTGATACCAGTTAAATACATCAAATTTTACTTCAGCAGAAATTCCGACTCCTGGGAAGTGAAGCTCGGTTTGAGGTGGAAATTGCTCTACTCAGGGAATACAGCAGATGCCAAATCCAGCAGAAAACCAGGTTTCACTGCCTTGTTCTACAACCTCCCAGCTGATCTCAGCCCAAGCCAGCAGCAGGAGGGCACCAGGCAGGTACAGCAGTGCTGCAACAGCTCCACTGAGGGCTCCAGGCTTTGCTTTTCCATCGAGCCTGCTGAAAAACAGCCGTTTTCTTCTGGAAAAGTTAGTAGGATGCAAGACATACACTTTGCTTTTTTTACCGTATCTGAGCATTTTTAAGGTAATATTTAACAACGTTGTGCTACCAAAACCTGCCCCATCAGGGTTTGACCCAAGCTTGAAGCTCTTTTTAGCATAAGACACCTTTTGCCTTTATTTGACTGCACAAAGCACCACCTGCAGACAATGCCATTTATTAGAGGCAGTTTATTTGTGTTAACAGGGGAGAAGGGAAGCTGTGCCCAGCTTTCAGCTACATTATTACCTCGGGTGATTAATGCAGGTGTCTTGTTTTCCAGCTGGAATTTCTGAGAGGCCAAGTGCTGGCAGCACTGGAGCAACAGGGCAAATAGCAGGCACAGCAGGCTCAGGACAGGTCTCCATCACCCTCACCCCGGGAAGTGCTCCTCTGGAACGGCGTCTCCACTCCAGGACACAGCTTTCCCCCCTTGCTGCTCCTTGCAGAGGCAGGAGCAGCTCAGAGAGGTTTAAGGGCAGGATTGCCTCTGAGCACCCAGGGTGAAGGTGGAGCCCGGGCATGGCCGGGACAGGGCGTGCCCAGGGTGCCCAGAGCTCCTGAGTGCTGCCAGGACAGGAGGCACGGGGAACCGCCGGGCAGGACACACCGGGCAGGACACACCGGGCAGGACACACCGGGCAGCCTGGGGACACACCGGGAGTCCCCGGGGACACACCGGGAGTCCCTGAGGACACTGGGGACACACCGGGCAGTCCCTGGGGACACACCGGGCAGTCCCTGAGGACACTGGGGACACACCGGCAGTCCCTGGGGACACACCGGGCAGTCCCTGGGGACACACCGGGCAGTCCCTGGGGACACCGGGGACACACCGGGCAGTCCCTGGGGACACTGGGGACACACCGGGCAGCCTGGGGACACTCCGGGCAGTCCCTGGGGACACACCGGGCAGTCCCTGGGGACACCGGGGACACACCGGGCAGTCCCTGGGGACACACCGGGCAGTCCCTGGGGACACACCGGGCTCAGAGCCCGCCGCCGCTGCGGTCCACGGGGATGGCCTGGCGGCGCAGGTTCTCCTCGGCCCTCTTCATCAGCACGGCCAGCCTGCTGCCCGACACGCGGCCCTTCTGGATGGCACTCATCAGCTGGGGACAGGGACAGTGGCTCAGGGTGCAAACCCCAACTGCAAACCCCAACAGACTGCAAACCCCAACTGCAAACCCCAAATGCAAACCCCAGAGTGCAAACCCAAAGTGCAAACCCCAGAGTGCAAACCCCAACTGCAAACCCCAACTGCAAACCCCAGAGTGCAAACCCAAAGTGCAAACCCCAACTGCAAACCCCAACTGCAAACCCCAAACTGCAAACCCAAAGTGCAAACCCCAACTGCAAACCCCAACTGCAAACCCCAGAGTGCAAACCCCAACTGCAAACCCCAACTGCAAACCCCAAATGCAAACCCCAGAGTGCAAACCCCAACTGCAAACCCCAGAGTGCAAACCCCAACTGCAAACCCCAACTGCAAACTCCAAACTGCAAACCCCAGCTGCAAACCCCAGCTGTGGCCTCAGAGGCTGCCCCCGGCTCACTGGCACCTCCCAGGACTGTCAGGACTGCCCTGGGCAGGCCTGGGTGGCAGGAGGAGGGCAGGTGCCAAGCATGATGCACTTGGAGCAGTGCAGGCACCACCAGTGCAGCCAGCCATCATCCCTGGGGGCTCCTCTGACACCTCGGAATGGGGGGAGCCCAGCAGGTGCACAGGCTTTCTCTGTAATTCCTGATACCTGAATTTGTACTATCTGAAGGGTGCAGCTTACAGAAGAGTCAGGATTTTTTTCCATTTAGGAAGAAATTGTTCTCAATGAGGGTGGGGAGACCCTGGCACAGGGTGCCCGGAGAAGCTGTGGCTGCCCCTGGATCCCTGGCAGTGCCCCAGACCAGGCTGGAACACCCTGATCTAGTGGAAGGTGTTCCTGGCCCTGGCTTGCAGATGAGCTTTAGGGTCCCTCCCAGCCCACATCATGCAGGGATTTCATGATTCTTGATCCACCACTGATCCCACACCTGCCCTCTTCCACCCACGTGCCTTTCTCTGGAGAGACGCTGTACTTGACTCCCACAATTCTTTCAAATCCAAATTCCTTTATAGACTTTTAAAACTAATTTGCCTCTAAGTCCTGGAAGCTGGACTCCTCTCTCGCACTGTGAAAGCACACTAGTGCTAAGATTTTAGTTAATTCTTTTTTATCCCATGGATAAAGCCAGCATTAGAGCTGAGATTACCTGCAGCCAGCTCTGCAGAGAGCGCTGGGGAAGTGACTGGCACTTGCCAAATGCAATTTTTTACTGGCACTGACTGCAGGAACCCTCAGACTCCTTCCCCCATAGCAGAAGCTGGACCTGTGCAAATGTGGTGTGGCCTTCTCCCTGGCCTCCCTCCCAGCTCCAGGGCACAGGGAGGAGGCCAGGCCTGTGCCAGGGATGTCCCAGCAGCAGAGCACTGGCTCCTGGGCCAGCAGCCTGCCAGAGCCCGGGGCAATGAGCTTTAGAGGAAAGGATGGCTTTGAGGCCCCTTCCCACCTGAACCACGCTGGCACGCCACGATTCCTCCTGCCTGAACGTGGCCTTTGCATCCCAGCAGCAGCTCGGGGCTGCCTGTCCCTGCGGGGCAGCAGTGCCAGCAGCTGGCTCGCCAGCTCCCGTGCCCCGGGCTCCGTGCCCGCCGTGCTGCCTGCCCCGGCTGCCCAGCTTGGCTCCCAGCCCCGGGGGCTGCCAGGGCCACGAGGCTGGCCCTGCTCTGCTCCCACCTGCAAGCCAGCAGCCCCCAGGCACTACCTGCTCCATTTTCCAACACAAACCTCCACAAATATTTGCCCAGGGCTTGCACAAGTTCTGCGCTGAAACGCAATTACTTGAAAGTTTTCAGAAAGCAAACACTCAAGTATTGGGCACTGGCTTAACAGATCCATTAAAAAATTAAACAAACATCTAATGTATTTTGCTCCTTCCATGGCAACCCCAGTTCATTTCAGTGGCACCTTGCTGCTTAGCACTGAGTGCTTCCCTGGAGCAGTGCAAGGCACAGGAGAGGGCTCAGCCCCACAGGGCCATTGATGCCTCAGGGTTTAGCATTTCTATTTTTCAGGCTCTGTGCTGCTTTGGTGTGCAGCTCTGAGCTTCACATTCAGTGTTGCTGAGCTCTCTGCACAGAGCAGGGGGACAAAACAATTCCTGCTCCAGCTGGGCACCCAAATGATCCAAATCTCAGCCCAGGAGCACAAACACCGTGGGCTGGAGAGAGAAAAACAAGCAGGGTGGGACTGATGGGCTGAAGCTGGAATAGGACAATGAACTCCAAGGTGCCAATGGAGCAGAACTGATCCCAGGGAGAGCCCCGGGAGCGCTCGTGCATTTTGGGGCCATTTTGGGTCATTTGGGTGCAGCCCTGGCTGGGCTCTGGTGCTGCCCAAGGTGGATCCATGGAGGAGATCCTTTAATAAATCCTTTAATAAATCCCTGTTTATTCTGTGACTCTGCCCAGCCTCTGCTCCAGGGCAGCCTCCACAAGGCATCCCCATCACTGCTGCTCCACAGCCCGGCTGCTCTGGGAGATGTGCAGGAGCCACAGGGTGCCACAGCTTTGCACAAACAACCCTGAAATGCTCCTAAGCACTGCCTGGCCTTGGCATTCTATGGGATGATGCAGGGCTGGCAGTCCCTGGTGACACTGGTCAGCGTGGCACAAACAGCCCAGAACGCCCCCAAAGCCCACAGAAGAACAATTCCTGTTGTTTCAGCTCCCCAGCCAATGTACCCGACCTAACCAAACTCCAGCCAGCTCAGCCCTGCAGAAAGGGCTGGCTGCTCAGTGAGAGGGGCAGCAGAGGTACCAGGGTGACCCTTCAGCAGCCAGAACCCCGCTGGGCTGTGCTCTGCCATTTGAACAGAGCAGCATAAACTCCCAAAGCCACTGGTCCTCCTTTCCCCCTGGCTTGCTTGGTTTGGTTTTTCCCCTTTCCCCAAATTCACTGCAGCTCCTCAGCTCAATTGCTGCATTTTAGGCAAATAAATACTCCTTTTTGCTAATGCTGGACACAACCTGTGAAAATTTTCTGCATTTAGATTCAACAATGCTGCTCTTATCCCCAGCTCATCTCCAGAGAGACAATTACCATTTCCTTTGCCTTGATCTTGTTTGTTTAACTTGACACAGTGAAGAAAGGGCTGACATTGACCAAAATCCCCAGCATTAATTTCTCTCCTGTTTGGCATTCATCATTGCCACCGGGCAGGGGAGACATGGCAGGCTCTGAAATACCACCCCAAAAAAGACTCCTCAAACACCAGCCCAGCTGACAAACTGCACATGCAAAGGGAGCACCCTCGGGTTTGCTTAAAAGCCCCCCAAAAAGCAGATGCATGTCTTTTTTTTCAGAGAAACTGAGACAATTTAGCCAATTCAGGAATTAAAATGGGTTATAGGGCCTGCATGGGTTCTAACTACAAGCTCATTCTTTATAATATTTGGTTAATTATTCACTTATTTAGCTTATCATTATTATAGTTATATTACTATTTATCACTATAAATATTTGGTTACTTAGTTATTATTCAGTTTCTTAGTTTGCTCATTTTTGTAACAACCCTTAAGAGCTGCAGATAATGTCAGTGTGCACACCTCTGCCATGCACCTTCCAATGGACACCTGTATAATCTTAAATACATTTAAACAGCATTTCTGGGCTTAAAATGCCAAATTCATGTCTGGACTGGGGCATACTTTGTAAATGGCACCTGTTTTTTGAGTCTGAGTGGAAAAAGCCCTGAATTTCCAAACTGCTTGAGGATGCTCTGTGTTCCCCTTGCACCAGCCCCACCAGCACAGGTAATGCTCCCCTGGTCTCCAGCCCAGCCCTAAGCACAGGAAAAGTTCCCCAGCTGTGACTTTGCTGTTGGAAATCCAGCCTTGGCTGGCAGCACAGGAGGCACCTACCTGCAGGAACTCGTTGAGCTCCACCTGCCCGTTTTTGTTGAGATCCACCTCGTTGAGGATCTCGTGCAGGGTGTTCTCGTCCATCTGCACGCTGATGCTCTGCAGGGAAGGAGCAGGGAGG